TTAATAAATAAAGGTAAAACACAAAACGTTTAAAAACGCCCCTTTCTACGTAGTTTAAAATCTGAAATCTTTCAGTTTTTTTTTTTTTTTTTTTTTGTCTTTGTCTTATAATTTCATAATAAATGTCCACGTTTATATATATCCTATAGATTTAAACTACTTCTGGAAATTACTACATTTAGATGCATGGTTTAAGGTAATATTTTAAGCAAAATTTAATATTTTTGTACGTAATGTAGGCTGAACAAAGAAAATCATATTATCAGAAAACACTGCATGACAAGAATGCAAAATGAAATGAAAAGTATTAACTCTGAAATAATATCTCATCATAATAACGTATTTCAAACTTGCAAAAGTAGAAATAGCTTAAAAATGAAAAAAATAAATACGTTTTCTTGTCAAATGAAATTAATCTAATGATGGCATACTTAAGAAACAAAAAATATATTCTTAGTTTAAAGTTTTCAAAACAATACAAGATTCACTTAATCCTGGATTTAATATGCAGCAAAATATTTAAAATATATCATTAAAATATACCTTTAGACATGTTGAAACATAACTATATCATTATCCTTTCTTAGTCAAACAGATTAGCCATGAATAACTAAATACGAATAATAATAAGACAAATACTCAACCCTAAGATTAATATGGAGCTATGGGTCACGTGATTTTTAATTTGTTATGGATGGATGTAAAACATGAAGGGATTTTATATGTTTCATGACGGAAGTTTTTCAAAGGGAAACCGGATCGAATTCACGTTACACATCGAGAAAAACGACGCGTATTACTCGACCACATGAAATGAATGGTTTCGCGAAAAACCGAAAATAGTACGAGCTAACAGCATTCAGCTGTTTTATCCACTCGGCCATTATGATCAGAGATATTCAATATTATTCGAGGAAAGTGCATAAATGTCTTTATGTCTTTTAAAAGTAGTACCGTCTTCGAGTTCTTTTGAAAAACAAAGTACAAGAAAAATATTTCTGTAGAACATTTTCATGAAGTGGCCAAAAAAATGCATTGTATATAATAGTTCTTTAAGAAAATGTTTACAAAACCGAAGTAGTTATCGAGTGCAAGTATTCTCTTCGTCTAGGTTGTTATAAATTTCAGTAAAATTTAAGTGAAACATTGGTATCATGAATCACTTTTCTTTAATCGATTGATAAAAGAAAAATGTTTCATGAGCGGTAAAATCAATGAAATGATCTTTAACACCAATCTCATCCTTCATATCATGTATTTTACATTCCTATTACCGGAAATTCAGTCGTTATCAATAAGAAAGCAAGTTTTTTCCCAGGCCTGTAGATTACAAACAAAAGTTTAACTGTGTGTCCTTCCGCTTATGGCATAAAAATCCATAATTTTGTCTGATTACCTCGGTTTGATAAATACTCAGTGTTTTTCAAAATTTTATTCAGTATGTTTGAATTTTAAAGCTTCATGTTACGATCAAATTCTGTAATTAAAACTCAGCAGAGGTTAATACCAAATTTAATTTCATTTTTTAAATAATAGGTTTTGTTAGTGAGTTCGTGAGTATATCCGTTTTGTTCTTGAGTATATTTATATTTGAGCAGTTTTAGTCATAGCTGAAAATTAATAAGTTTAAAAGAGAGCCACATCAAAACTGGACAGAATTCTCACCTAACCTAAGTAATTGGGCACATATGTAAAAGATACAGTTTATTGAAAGGTTGTCGCTAATGAGATGTAACTCTTACATTTTAATTAAATGAAAATCTAGCTTTTGACATTAATTTAATAACTCGGCAAATTCTACCGATAATTTTAATAACTTAACAAAGTTGATAATTCAGCATTGCATTGATGCCAAACAAATGTTCAGTTTTCCATATTATTGGATACAGTATATTACAGTAATCATTTTCAACTATGAGTATTATTCCAGACCAGTAAATTTCCTTTATCTACAAATTCAGTTATATAATCGGTAACTCTGCATCCGCTAATTTAGTATCCGCGGTTCACAGAGGTAGAGATAGGAAAACTTGCTGTTAAATTTAAGTTTCGAAGCGCAAGCGAAGTGGCAATAATCCCGTAACATATCGAAAATGCAACAGTTCCTACTCACACCATATTCTCTTTCCATATATCTGCATGATCGTTTGGGGCTGATGTAACTAAATAACGAAGAATGGAAATGTTTATTTCGGAATACTAAGTGTACTTTCAGATTACACGGAACTATTCTTACTGTGAGCTTTCACCCCATTTTGATGGTCACGAATATGTTGATAAGCGATATCGGTTAACAGTAATCAAAGTATTTGACTTAGCTTAATTTCCATATACACACAATTTCTTCTTCTTACATTTTCGTATTTTCTTTAGTAATGCTTTATCGTAAATTTTTAGTTCTTTAAAGTTCTGTTTGTCTCAACAAGAGTTCAAAATATTAAATTCGCTTTGAAACTACTAGTATGTAATTAGTGCTAGGAAAAAGAATAATTTTTATTTCTATCATTGTCTGGAACAGTGTTTTATGTTTGCTGTACAGCAGTGATCTCAAACTGGTGGTTCAAAGGCAATTTTACACACGGTTTACAAATACATTTCAATTATTTATATATGATGCTTATAATGTTAAAAACCACAGATATGGACTGAGTTATGTGCGCGACTGCTCTTGCAGACGAAGATACAGATTCAATCAGCCTTTAACAGCATTCGTCAAAGGAGAAATACCATCAGTTATGAAATGTAATAAACGTTTTGTTCGTGAGTATATTTATATTTGAGCAGTTTTAGTCATAGGTGAAAATTAATAAGCTTAAAAGAGAGCTCGATTGACCAATAGGCATTGGCAATCCGTGAAGGTATTTTTTCCCCCAAGGCTAAATATTGGTCACAATCGTAACGGTATCAAGCGTCAAACTGTAGGAGAAAAATAAAGTTTATAATTATGTACATACATACATCTGCATTTTTTTTCCATGTGTCGAAGGAAAAATTAATAAAAAAAAGAATGAAACGTCAACTGAAACGTCGTTCTTAAGATCCTATTTGGAAAGTTTTCACAATTTGTTTATCTTTATAGTGATTAATTCAATGTATTAGAACTCTTTGCAATAAATATCAGTATGAAAACTTAATATCTAACTGTCAGTATTTTTGAAGTACAAAACGTAAACACTTCAGATTTCTTGTAGGTACCAAGCTTCAGATTTCAGATTGAAAACTTATATAAATTTCAATTTTTACTTTGAGTTATTGTTATTATTTATATATGCTTTGATAAATATTTAGTAAGGGACTATGCATCTAAAACAAAATTGAACTGAAAGAAATAGTCTTCTAATTTTGGATAAAAGAATTAAGTTTGAGAAATAAAAATTTAGCATAGAGAAAAACACTGTATAAAATGACACTGAGCATTACTGAAATACATTTTCAATTAAACCGCATCAAAGAAAAATACAATTTTAAAAACCAAATTTCCAATACGCAGCACACTACACATACGCTTCCCACGTGTAACACCGGCTTATAAAGAAGTGACATATATATATATATATATATATATAGAATATAACTTCATCACAGTATAATTATTGCACAGTAAACAGCTGTACGGAACTGTTTTTTTTTTTTTTTTTTTTTTTTTTTTCATTACTCATTCGCCATACTACCAGTTACCATATTCCAAACATCAGCCCATTACTTTATTTAGTAGTAAACCGTGCATTGTTATGTGCAAAATACTTCATTATTGCATTGTCCAACACTGCTAATGTCTTACTTGCATAAATTATTTAACTTAATCATATGTGTCACACGACTACCCCGTTTTGTATAACGTTCTCTATAATATGCGGTTTCACATATCTATGGCAGGCTAGTGCTAGTACATATTTATACACAATCTGTGACATATTTCTAGACCAAATATATTAACAGACATAGACAAACGAATTTCCCTCGGAACACAGAATGATGGATTATCATTCAATAAGTTATCAATTATCTGCAGATCAATTATCCAATCGACATTATTTAATTGCTTGATTACTTTTTCAACGTTTCTAATTCACTTTTTTTACCATTTAATTTTATTGAAGCACCTCTTATTCAATCTAGATTGTAACACGAACATTTTGATAGGGTTTCTTTACTTATTGAGGTAAACCAATCAAAGAAGAACACCCCGTAAGAGCCAGTTTCAAAATTTTCTACAAGGAATTGGCCTATATTCATATTACACTAAAGTTCAAATTCAAATCGTCTGTGCAAAAATTCTGTTTAATTCCCTGTAATAAAATCTAGAAACTCTTACGAGCATTTAGAGGTCCTACCTGCAAAAATGCAAGTTGTCAAAAATAGTTCGAAATTATGACTATGCTTCAAATGATTAGATGCAATACAAACACTTAATTTTAACCTTCACTCGCTTCCAATACATGATTGTTAATTCTGCATATGGTTTTCCTAAAATAAGCTTACGTTTTTAATAATAAGAACAGAATTCTGATCATTAAATTATATAAAACTACAGCAGCAAATTAGTCTTAGAATTTTTTGTACATTCTAAATTTGTCACAAATCCCCGGATTGAAATGAAACATTAACTCACGACATTAATCTTTCAAAGGTGCAGAAACTGTATAAAACTTAATTGAGAGTAATATTAAATTTTTCAAAATTCAAAATAGAGACCAGATTTCATAAATTTTTATTTCATTGGAAAAGAATAGTTTATTTTGTTTTTATAGCTTCAGAAAACATAAAAAAAAACTTAGATTCAAAAACTAAAAAAATTGCACTTGCTTTCGAATTCGTATCTAAGCAACCATCATTTAATCTTCAAAATCAATTTATAATTCTTTAATCATAATTCAATCAATAATTCTTCAAAATCAACCACAAGCTGACAAGCACTGGTGTAATAATTTCAAATGATTTTGCTAACCTGAATATTTATTTTAATAGCAATTTATGAATAAAATAAAATCATTACATACCTCGCAAAAAATCGGCATCTTTAAACTTATGCTGAAATTCCAAAAATGCTTAAGAAATCCGTAGTTGAAGCTTGAATTAATTAAACGAGTCTTTGCTACGTTAACTTTTGCACAGATCTAATTCAAGAGACCAAGTATGAATTTTTGAAAAACTACTAGATTAGCATTGTTTGCTTAGTTACAGCTGGTATTCCCCGAAATCGAACGGGAAGATAACAAAATGTGTCAACAGAGAAAGAATCTTCAACGCAAAGTTGGGAGTGAGTTAAGACTGAAAAACACACGGATAACAGTTAAAACAATGTTGCGCAACAACATCCTATGTTAATCTAGAGGTAGGCTTTGTTCCAGTCGTGTTAAATCACTAACATCAATCTCACGAAAGAATAACTAGGCAGTGCATGGAGAAACAGCGGTTGTTATTAAAGCGTTATTTACAGTAAGTACTTCCCGAATAAAGTTCTTACGGGCACTAAATATGTTAGATTCAATAAAATTTAAGCAGCTATTCATGCCGTAAGTGGAAACTTGTAGATTTTTTTAACTGTCTAAATCTATGACTCGTACGCTGATAATTTCGCACAGGCTGCCAATGTTACTCGAAAATATGAGGTTATACTCTTATTCAAATTAATTAAAATAATTCATTTTATAAAAACTCTAAAAATACATTAAAATTTGTTAAACGGTTTATGTAATTCTATTTGAAAGTAATTGAATCGATATAAAGTTAACGCTTGAAAGATACGGAATTTGGGCACTCGGTACCCTATACATTTGCGTATTTGACTTTTTCAGTAAACACTCCGAAAGAATATTTCGAAAATTTCAATCTAACAGCACAGTCTAGAACAGCGGTCGCCAATCGGTGGTAAGTGGAAACATTTTGATGGTCCGTAGGAAAACTGGGACATTATTTATATGTTTATGAAGATTCAGTTTAAAATATGACGAGTAACAAAACCTATTATGGAATATGGATTATACTTTTTTTTTTTTTAATTTTAGCTACTACGTTTAGCGAAATTCCTTCTGAATTTAGCGACGTTTTAACTACTTTTGCAGGTGCAGCTAATCACATTTGAAAGTGAGAGTTGGCATCCATGGATATGCTGCTGTTATCAAGAATAGCGCGAACTGAAATTCTCTTTCCTTTGCGTTAATAACACAATTTTTCTCCGTGTTAATAGGCAACTTGATAGATTTGAGAACCATCTGCATTCTTAATATATTAATAATTACATCACTGGAAGTTTCCGTTTTCGTTTTGTCTAACTGTTTATCGATAGCGCCATTGCTGAGTAAGCAATGATTATTATAATTAAGACACAATAACACAATAATTCTGAATTAGTAATGATTATTATGTTTACAATAATTTAATATTGGCGGCATAACACTTTCAGTTTATTGATAATGCTTTGCCTTTGCCAGTTTGTTCTTGCTCTTCGTGAAGTTCCTTTTCAGTGTTAAGGAAATGTGAAGCATTCTGTACAAGAAAGTACGATTTTGTACTTTTCATATAATTTTTCAATGTGAACGAAATATGTGTATCAGTCAGGTGTTAATAGTGTGTTAATTGTTACTCATAATCTGTTGATCACCAAACGTTTCGAAAATTGTATTAACAAATGAAAATTAGAATTACATGCATTGGAAAGTTGAATATTGTTTTTGAGTATTAATATGTTGTTTAAGGTCTGATTTAAGGGTTTTTCTTTTTAATTCATATTACTGGTCTGCCAAATATAAAATTATTTATGTAGTGGTCCATGAGGTTCTAATGGTTGACGACCGCTGGTCTAGAAATACAACATACGATTATCCCCCCCCCAAAAAAAGTGTGTCTTAAATGCGTCAAATATAGATAGCTACTACCTATTTTATTATTTACAACTTTAAAACAAATGCATAACTATTATAAAAATCCTTCATTATTATGTATCGATATATATTTTGTACGATATATTATACCAATCTACAAAATAAGCTACGTACACTACAGTTCTATAAATGTTATTTTGTCTTTGTGAGGATTTTTTCGAAAAACATTTACTTTTTTTTTATTTTACTTTACTTTTAAAAGCATCTTATCAACTGCTTCATATAAATATTGCAGTTCTATACTTCTTTTTTACCCTTACATCCAGTTTTCAAACTATGTTTCTATTATTTACACTTTATTAAAAAAACAAGTTATAATTCATGAGAGGGATATATGGTAAATATTCTATAGAATTTATCATCAAACAAGTGTTAAATTCACCTAAAATCAAGTACTAATCAGTCTAAGTGAAGAAAGTATTAACTATATAAACGCGTTTTACTCAAAACATCCATTTTGGAATTTCGTGATTTTGGTGTACAGGATTTCTTTGGATTTATCAAATTATATAAAGCATACCTGGGCTATCTAAGGGAAGAATACTTTCGAGGAAAACTATCGAAGAGTCGATTTCAGCACAGTCCAGTTACCAGTGTTCAGCGATTCTATCCGTTCTACCGCTGATGGGTCTATCTGCCATGCAGGATAAGATGCAGTATGTAAAAGTTTGAACTATTTAGTTATTTATACTATCAGCAAGTTCTTTCTGCGAACATGTCGGTAAACTATTAGTTCTGTTTGTTATTGTTATTAGGTAAGTATTATAGCCATGTTCTGTGATTGTTAAAATTTCTAACAATGTAATAAGATTCCAGCAATGCAGATTTCCAACAATGTAATAAGTTGACATCCGTTATTATTCAAGAGTAATGGCGGTTCTGTAAACAGCGCAAAGATATATTGATTCAAAATATATATTAATACATATTACAACAAGTACGAATACCACAGAAGTACAATACTTTCAATACTGTCACAGCTTTTCAAATTATCTCTAAGGCAAGATTTTATATCTAAATAATGATAGGAAAGCTTCTTCTAAAATTCAAGGGTAAAGAAACGTAAAAATTTGTTGACTGAAAAATGCAATCTTGAATGAAATATGGACCAAATAAATCTTCATAGCCACCACAATCTACCACAAAAATCAATTGCCTGAGGATAACGACCTTTTGGCATGAGGTATATATTCCTCAGCTTAAAAGTGGGCAAACTACTTTTATAGGTAATCATAAGATTATATGATTTTTTTTTCAAAGCTCAATCCTAGCACAACACTGTTTTTTCCGCTATCTCCTTCAATTTAATGCATGCATAATTTCTACTAAAAAGTATAATTGATTTTAATGCCTGAAATTAACTCTTTTATATTAAGGTTGCCGAAGTGTATTTAGAAAATAGGATTGCATTCATATGAAAATTCATAAATTTACAGTACAATTCATGTAAATGAACATTATAATAGAGAATCAAGTGCAAATACACTTTTTTTTACACATAACAAAAGTTTTTTGTGTATAATCAAACCAATAGAAAAAAAGACCTTAGATGATGTCTTTTCTCTCTGTCTCTTTATCTTTTTATTTTATCTCTCTATTTTACCTTCCTATAGACAGTTTTGTACGGCGCAAATGTTTTTCTACATATGTTCGTGATGTTTTTTTACTTAAAAACAATCGTTCTTGAATGTTACAGTGTCAAATTTTTACTCAGGCGATACGCCACTGAAACGGAGGTGCAGTATTCTGATTTTGAGAAGAAAGTTTAATATTGTTCACGGACTAATAATAGGTTGGAATTTTAAACTAAAGTATTCTATTTTAGCCTTTCTTATTTGATAATCTGCGTTAAAATGAATCAGAATGAATGAAAAAATTGAATTGCAGCACTTGCATTGTAATAGCATACATTCTGTGTTACGATGAAAATACGACTAGACTTAGCAGATTTTACGGTCATCAAGATCTTATGCGAATAACTGGAGTTCTACTTTTAAAAAAAATCTTAATCAATTTATGAATCAACGGGCTAAAGTGTAAAGAGAGTCTGGCCGTTAAGTGCGAAGAACGTGATTTTTAATAAATAAAGGTAACAGACAAAATGTTAACAAAACGCCCCTTTGAAAGTAATTTAAAATCCGTTTCTTTTTGTATTATTATTATTATACTTATTACATGCATATATGTTTAAAAATTAAGGAATCTTTCTTCATAATATTCATTTATCACGGTAATAATTTGACTTTATAATATTTTTTGCAGCATTATTTTGAATATATCTCAGAAATATTCCTAAAATTTTCATTTTATATATTAATTACGATGATGACTATCTTTCTACACTCCAAAGAACAAGCCTTTTTTAAAAAATTGAAACAGGATGCATCATAACAAAAGCGGTTACATTATCAGCACAGCCCCCCCCCCATAAAAAGGGTCTTTGCATCACTTAATCATACTTGTATTTGATTAAATAAGTGTAACCGTTTTCGTACTAAACATATTTGAATTTTATATTTTATGCCAATTTCAGATACATGAACATTTGCATTTACTGAAACATTACCTTTATTTTAAATATCAAAACTTTAAAACGAAAAAAAGTATTTACGGTTTCGTATACACCCTAATTCATTTTCTGCAACAGTTTCTGTCTGCTGAGCAACAAACAGAGATTTAACAAGTCCTTAAAACTTCTTCTTACCAAGCTATGCTGTTAATGACGTTCACACAATGGCGCCTCGAGGATTTATTCGTCTTGCTTCGCATTAAATTTAAGGATCATTCGAAAAACTGATTCCGTAAGCTCGATGAAGACAATTAATATTATGCTCGACGACTTGCGGTAAACGAAACCGCGAACTAAAGCATATAATGAGATTAATTAGGTCGGCCCAGGTTCTGAAACGTCGCCTTCTTCTGGGTGGCTAGAGCTTCGCACAGAAACGCCATTTTAAAACAGTAGGAAGTAATCTTGTAATGGCATCTATTGTATTCTTGGGTTGATGCATTGTCATGCGTGTGCAGGAGCAATGAGATTTATTTAATTTACGTTGATGTCCTTTAAATAAACGAAATAAAAACAGCAGTGTTTAACAAAGGCAAATCTAATTTCAATTAGAAGGACAATTTCCGTGTGCTTCAAACGAAAAAGCAAAGGAAAAATAGTTTTATTCTAGTTCGGAGTTTTAATTATTTATTACTTCTTTTCAAGCTTTAAAGTTCGAAAGAAATGGCGTTCTCTTTAAATAAATTAATAAGGTATTTTAAGAGATTATGTGCAGTTTAAAA